TGGCTAGTAGAAGTTATGAATGGCCGGTAACTTAAAAATGTAGTAGCCAAATTGGCTGGTGAGTGAAAAAGTTCATTTAAATCCCTGGTTGTCTACATTGTTTGTGCTTTGATTTGAACGAAAACGTCTCAGGTTACGTATGTAACCCTAGTTCCTCAAGGGAACGAGACGCTGCATCGGAAACGCTAGGGGAACGCCTTCTGTGACCACGCTCTGAATAACATGTGAAATCAGTCCAAGAGAGAGTAAAATGGCATGCATTGGCTAACTTTGTCCATCTCATCATTGCACGAACATGAATTAACAAGCTGTTACGCTGCCGCTGGGACTGATGAAGTGGAGAAATTAACCGCAGTTATCAAATGACTAAATTATGATATTTGCTCAGGTGGGTGCTGGGGTCTTATCTATCGGATTACAACTTATATCCATTTTATTAATTAAACATTACACCGAGTTAAGCCAGTCGGCGTGGTAGCACAGGCTCACATAGTCATAGCCCACTATTGTTAAGCCAGTCGGTGTGGTAGCAAAGGCTCACATAGTCATAGGCCACTAGTGTTAAGCCGGTCGGTGTGGTAGCCAAGACTCACATAGTCATAGTCCACTAGCGTTAAGCCAGTCGGTGTGGTAGCCCAGGCACACATAGATAGTAAAACATACAGGCTCTTCGGAGCAGCAGCAGTACATATGTCTTGGTGTTAGATCTGCTTGTTGCGGGGGGGGTTGTTCTTGTTTTTTGCTTGTATTGTCCCTTCTATGTCTCCTGCTTTGTGGGGGGTTATTTCTTACATGCTCACAGCAGCATGTTGTGGATGTATTGGCAGTAGCAAGTCTCGGTACTTGCTCTGGCGCAGCAGCAGCAGCGTAGCTGATCTATTCCGCCAAGACCAAATACATTAACATTGTCATGTACATTACCATGCCAATCCCTCCGAGAGTTGTCATGACAGAAATACAGAGTTCTGGCATGAAACTCTAGATGGCGCAGTCCGATAGGTCTAACTCAATCCTTCAGAAATCCTCCACCTTCCCCAGCTCCACCTGTATAGATCTGGTACGAGGTGATTCATGTATGCTATATGGGGTTATTTCATGCGTGTTATATTTGCAGCAGCAATATTTCTTACATGCTCACAGCAGCATGTTGTGGATGTATTGGCAGTAGCAAGTCTCGGTACTTGCTCTGCCGCAGCAGCAGCAGCGTAGCAGATCTATTTCGCCAATACCAAATACATTAACATTGCCATGTACATTAAAATGCCAATCCATCCGAGAGTTGTCATGACAGAACTAATTTTGTGTTTCACAAGTTTTACACATTATTCACCTTGGGCCTTAAATTGTGGTTAAAAATCAAATTTTATGGCGAGCGTAAATGAATTAGTGATTGCATTAAATTAATGCAATAACTAAGCCTATTTCTCTGCCCTACTTTGCATACTTTATGCCATAACCTTCGGCTACAAGAAAAGAGTGTAGAGTACTGGATATTACTATGGATTAAACTACGAAACATCATTTGTTATACATGTATTGACAAAAAAAATTAACAAATGTTTATCTACATAGTGCAGCCATGTAGAGAATTTCACACTGCCCTACAGTACTCAAGCGCACATTGAAAAAGCACTGTACTAGGACACATCTGCTCTAGTTTACCCTGTTCATTATAATTGTAATGAGCATTGGGAATTTTGTGGCCCCATAATTAGACTGTTTGTCAAGAGCACTTAAAGTGTCTCTTTCAGTGTAAGATTGTCACAGCCAGCTGCACGTTGGAGGTTAGAGTTCAAACTTGACTGTTCAGACTTCAAAAATCTGGCCTAAATCTTTTAGCTGCTACAGGAATGCAGTTTTGCCGCCCTGCTGTACGGTTAAACACTGTTCCATTTTAAGCCTCTGCCACTGTTTTACCACATGATATGTGCATATATAGCATGCTATGGTTAAAATAGCAGCAGTGGACCAAATTATCCACTGTATAGTTAACAACTTTATATTTCATGAAGCATTTTTATAATGCCATTATAATAGTTTACTTGTCCCACAGCTGGGCTTTGCTTATAAGATTAAATACCATCAAGTTGCACAGCAAAAATTTTTGTACCACTTAAAACACTTACTAATAAATATTTTTAGGAGAGCAAGCTCACCATGAAACAACTGCACTTCATTAAGATATAAAATACACTCCAAATGTTTTCCAAGCTTTTAATACTCCCACTAGTGGTTGAATTAAATATATGGTGAAAAAAGGCAAAGACATAATTACAGACTTCTATGTGGAAATTTGGCTTTGTGGAGCCCAGAAAAACTTCTCAACACCATTTTAAATCTAAATTATATTACTTGTGAGTACATCGTGCTGGTGCCATGTAAAGTTATTTGTTTGACGCTGTTACCAACTTCCGTTTGGGAATGTAGTTTAGAATTTGGTCTTGGGGAGGGAAAAAAAGTATGATTGTAAGAACAGTGCTGGTCCCCACAGCCCCAAACCACCACGTGAGGCAAAGTGCCATTAAGTGTTTCTCAAACTCACTCAGACACAGTTGCCTGTTGACTCAGAAGGAAAGGGCATCTGACGCCATCTCTGTTTCCTGCCTTTGAATGTTTCTGTGATTAAAATACACATTTGGTGCAAAATGTGGAAAGCCTTGGCTGTACCGCAAATTGTTTCCACACTGGAACATTTACATTTATATACACATCATATTGAACTGCAAATAACTCGATACATTTATTTTTGATTGTCTGTTTGTACCCAAGCTAAACAACAAATAATTGGTCTTTTTACTCTAGAGGCTTTATAAAATTGAAAATCTTTTTGAAATGCTTCATTTAATCTAATCAGAGAGTGAGTTCACAATCTTAAATATGCTGGTTTCCCATCCTCCACAAGTCCTAACCCAAGAGGTTTCAGTCTGCGCAACTGAACCATTACACTCCTTCAAACTATTAAAACAGAAATAAATCCTTTAAAATAAATCCTTTGTACATAAACCTATGTACACATGTGCATAAAGACAAATGACCTGTGCATGGTCAGACTCACCAGTAAAAAATGAAAGGCAAGTGCATAGAGGGAGAGAATGTGTACAGTAGAATGTCAAATAAGAATTCAATAAACAAAGAATCATCAGTTTGCTGCATATCGTCTGCAGCACCCTGGAGCACTGCTGAGCTTGAGCAGAGCGCCCCCTGCCTGCCAAATGAGAATACTATCAAAAGCATCTAAGGCATAAGCCTAAAGCTACAACTGCTATTCATCAAAGAAAATGATTTTTGCAGGTTTTTTTTATGTTCCTTAAATTAAATGTGAAAATAAGCACAGTGCACCTGTTGAATGACCATTTAACCATTTAAATTGAAAAACAAATTATATAGATCAGTGTGTATCATCTGATTTAGCTTCAGCAACCATAAAGTGCAAGCCTTGACAAAACCTGTTGTACAAAACCTGATCCAATCACAGGCTCTGTTATACCTCTGCAATTGAGAGTATGAGTTAATTTGTCACAATTAACTATGATTGCAGTGACACAAGACTAAAATGTGTGCCTTATCAGTATTTAACCAGACCATTGACCAATGGACAATAACTACAGTGCTGTGCAGAGTGGAGGCAGTTCATTGTTTTGCCTGTCCTGATGGCACAGCTGTTTGTGTGAGCTTCTACCCTCAGCAGCTGTGCTCTGGTAATCTGCTGGCCTGTGCACTATACAGCCAACTATTCATCTGTTCTGCCCACTACAATACACTGCTTAACTTTGTGGTTGTCTTTGCAGTTTTTTTTAACCTTGTAAATCATATATTCATAATGTATATTTTTTTTGTTAAGCTTTGTTTACTTGCACACAACTCATAAGGATGAGTGTAGCTTATATATTTTTGGAGATAAGGATAGTTAGCTATACCGTTGACAGATTCTGTAAATTAACTATAGAGTATTATTGGCTACCCAATATCTAACTTTCTCAAAGCATCCCAAAATAGACTTCTAAGGGTAACTACCATCATATTTCAATGCAAGATACAGTGTGTTGTAAGTGTTGTAGTCACATAGTGAAATATTGTGTTTATGGGAAATACAAAGGAAATAGAAATAGAACATTTAAAAAGGGCCAAAAACAGAACCTTGGGTAACCTCATATAAGTGATTGGGGCCTAGAAGTTTCCAGTGTTAACGGGTAATATTCCAGTTTTAATACTAGTTTTAAGACTTTATTTCTTTATAAAGTCCATAAAAATGACATGAGTAAAGTTATAAAAAGCAGCACTGCAACTTAGCAAAACTACAAGGGTAGAACTACTAATCAAATTAGTAACACTTTACAATAAGGTCTTATTTGTTAACT